AGGAAGTGTGATAGGCTTGAGATAAATGTATCTTATTCTAATCTTTTCAGATTAAAGTTAGTTATGGGCATTAGATGTGTGGTAAAACACATTTTGAGCAGACTTATATATATATAACTCATTTGTCCTCCTTCTTGATGAAATAAAAAAGGTCCGCCTTTGACACATTACCGTAATCTATCTATCTATCTATCCAGTTCACTCACACACACGTAAATGTAGTACTATGGGAGCCACTGTGGGAGGCTCTGCACTAGAGGAAAAGTGAACAAACCAGTCAGTCAGTCCTTCTTCTCTGACTTCTTTTCTTTGTGTTCAGAAGCCAGAAGCCGTGACTCAGCAGCCAGTTCAGCAGCTAATTGACCCACATTACATCTGTAGGGACGCAGGGAGATCATTCTTCCAGTGCTTGTTCTAATGGTGCATTTCAGTATGAAAATGCAGGTCCAATTAATACATTTGATACAATCAAAGCTAATGTGTAAGGGTTACGGATCATAATTAACTGCATAAAATGAGCAAGGAAAGACTCAAAGACTTGCTAGTAATTCATTTATAGTGCTGTCCCAGTAAGCCTGACATTTTTCAGATGTTTCTAAAGAATTCAAACCTGAATGCAGGAAACATACTTGTGTCTTTGTCCACAAGGCCCTCTGGTAGATACAAACACACAAGGAAGTGGAGCCTTTTTGTGTTGTCTGGAATGTTAATGTGGATAGATAATAATGAAGGACTGCCCCCATACAAGGGAGTTGTAAAAAATATATTTACAGCCATATTATCCTGGCTGTTTGTGTCTGACTGAACTCTACGTAGACAGTTGCATGCCAGCAAATCAAATTTAGTCTGCAGCCAAAATGTAATCTGTCTCATGTACTACTGTCAGGACATAATGAAGATTACTTCAAATATGGCAAAAGGAATTACCTACTGTAGCTTTAATAGTGCCATTGATTTGACACTGTGTAATGAACATTTCAACCTTTAGGGGCCACTAGCAGGGTTTTAGACTGTTAGAAAGCCTGGTTAGGTTCTAAAGACTCTTATCGAGCTGTGTTAAATTTATCTCTTATAATTCATTTTATGGCAAACAAAGACTAAATTGCTAGAGGGACCTTTGACCATTGAAAAGCCTTTACACCTCACATTATTTACAAGCAAAACTTTCCGTCCTAAGAAAGAACAGAACACTGTATATGTCTAGTGGTAATTTATTTAAATTCTATTTGAACCTTTATTTAGACAGGTAACGTCACTGAGACACAGAGTCTCATTTTCAAGAGAGACCTTGGTCAAAGCAGAGCCCTGACTGATGACAGCAATATGGTAAACATATGTAATGGTAAACCATGCAGTTGTGAAGGCTTGTGTTACATGCTGAGTGACACACTTTGTCGGAACCTGTTAACTTATCTTCACCCTCTCTGTCCTCTTAACACCATTTGCACAATGTATGAATGTGGCTTTACTCTTTCTCCTACAGAGAGGTGCAGCAGTGCACACTGTTGATAAGACTGGGTGTTGACCTGAGGGATGTGATGAATTGCAACAGTAAAAAAGTGAAACCACAACCGAATCTTGAGCATAATAACTTGTCGTTATCAGACTTTATTGTATTGTCGTTGTGTCACCCTGCTATACTTCGATTTAATTTTGTATACAGACAGGGAAGCCAACAGCAACTTTTATTGCTGTTGAAGTATGTCATTGGTGTGTGGTTATGCAGTGCAGACTTTGAGTGTGAGTCTGCATACCCAATAATATGTAATGAAAACCTGGATGAAAGGAAAAGGCAACTGCATCTTTAATTCTACAGCATGCTTATTTTGTTGTAAATCTGTTTGTGTGAATGTGTTTTCAGTTCTTTTTTATATGTGTATTTTAAACTAAAGCAGCCAACTTTTTCTCATCAAGAGTTGAAGCTTATTCTGTAGAAGCCTGTCAGTAACATGAACAGGCTGTTCCGTCAGTGCTGTGGGTTCTCCAGTAGAACCTGAGCACACAGACAGCAGTGTGTTCCCCAGTGGGAGTCTCTGTCAACCGCCACAACACTCTCACTGTTATCAGACTTTTAAACAGAGAGGGTGAAAGCGCCTCTGCAAACCCTCCCACTCATCTCCACAGCAACTGTCACATGATTTCACTTCAGGAATCAGCCACACCGGAAGTAAGTTTGCCTTTCAAAATAAAATGTTCCCGTTACACAAGTCCTGCCAGAGGGTCAATATTTTAGAGCAAAGCTCAGTGAGACAAGCTTGTGATTTTGGGACATAAATAATATTCACTCAATAAATGCTTTTTATAGTGTATATTCAACAATGTATATTTCAAATAGTATAGTATATAGTATATTTGCATAGTCATGTTGTTGTGATACATGACATTTTGTAGCCTAAATGAGTCCAGATTCAGCCAGGTACTTTTCTCATTATTGTGGATTTAACTGTTTTGGATCATTATCATCTTCCTGCCTCCTGCTTTAAATCAATCTACAAATTGTTTCTTGTCTATATTGTTATGATGGATTACTGAGCCACCCCACATGGAACAGGCTCAGGGGCCTGAGTGATCAGGGCCAAAGTCTGAAGTGACTATTCTAACATTTTCTTGTTGGATTCAAAGATGACCTGATTTGTCCGTGATGATTTTTTGTTGTGTTTATGGTTCTGTCTGTTGCTGGTATCATTTTATTTCTCGTGTATAACTGTTAACAGGGGTGGATCTAGAGAAATATTCATGTGGCACATTAGTAAAGCATTGAATAGAAATATCTAAAGGCGGCCTTAGAAATCAATACATATTTTATTTTTTTTACAAATACATGTCTTTTTTCATTAAACTTAAGCCTATCATAGAGTCTTAAATGTGGCCACAACGGATCATTAAATGAAAGTTGTTAATTTCCATTTTTAATATGTTATTTTTCAAATTAATCTTAATGAATGTTCTAAATTTGACACCAAACTGGGATGGCCAGGCATTCTTTAGGGCTCCAGTGTTCCCTTTAAACCTATTTATAGCCTATTTATCACTTTTGTCCATACTTATTTTATAATGTTATTATTATATCATATCCTCATGGTATATTTAGGGCTCCTGTGCCCTAAAAAAACAAAAACAGTCATGGACACACCTGGAAATTAATTAAAATGAACACAAATCCTGGAAATATTTTATGTTGTCCTGGAAAATGTATAAATGAAATTACATAAACCTGCTTATTTTATTTGAAATTCTGCTGTTGGTGGGATAAGCTGTGTGAAAACTGGAGTTAAATGTGTCAATGCTAGGCCTACTGGTAAATTATATAGTACTGTCCTGTACTCCTGTAACTCCTGCGAGTTCTTAAGAGTGGGAAAGCTGAAATTGCCCGCTTTTATTTTGAAGACAGTATATATCATGTTCCGGTCATATGTTAGGTCACTTAATGTTTGTGCACTAGTTGTTGGCTTACATCACGCAGACGGTCCGTGTTTATCACCTGGAACATAAGAGTGTGTGTAGTGTCTCCAGCCGTCAGTACCGCGTCATCTCACTGTCTCACAGCCGCAGGCATGGCTCTGTCTCTGGGGTGGCTCTCAGCCCTGGCCGCGGGTCTTTTCTCCGCTCATGTCTTACAGAAACTGTGCTTCCCGTACTTTTGGAGGGACCTCCTGTTTCTGCTGAAGGTGATCAGGTACGGCGTGAAGTTGGAGCTGTTCAAGCTGACATCCAGCGTGTGTACGGTCCTGGACCGGTTCATCCAGCAGGCGCAGCTCATCCCTGACAAGCCGTTCGTCATCTTCAACGGAAGCATCCACACCTACCGGGACGTGGACAGACGCAGCAACAGACTCGCCAATGTTTTCCTGGAGAGAGCGAACTTGAGGAAAAGAGACTGCGTTGCCTTGCTCATGAGCAACGAGCCCGACTTCCTGTGCGTGTGGTTCGGGTTGGCAAAGGTCGGCTGCTCGGTTGCTTTCCTGAACACCAACATCAAACCGAAGTCTCTGCTGCACTGCTTCAACTGCTGCGGAGCCAAAACTCTCATCGTTGGTTCAGGTAAAGCTCTCACTCTCGCACTGACGTGTGCGCTCCAGTTCATGAGTTTTCGAGCACGGGAAAGCCTCCAAATATGCGTTTGTTTAGGAGGAAAAAGAAAAAGAAGAACAATAGGGCCTTCGCACGGTCAGTGCTAAAAAAATGCAAATAATTGTGTTTGTAAAGTCAATATTTTGTAAAAGTTTCTCATTATAATGACCTACAGAATCTATTTGGGCTTCCATATCTTTACCTGTTATCACTGTCAGCTTCACAACAGTTATCACCATTACACACCACTGATCTATTCAATATGATATCTTATGACAAATATAATTTATAGGTTAATATTTTGTTTCAAAATTAACTTTATTTAACCTCACTCAGATTCAGGATAACACATATATGAAATAAAAACAAATGTTTTGGCTCAACAAAATAATGGCAACTTCTAATGAAATTATGTTTAACAAATGTACTACATTTAGTTAAGGAAATTGGCATGTCTTCAACAATCAAAGGTGTTTTTAATTACCTCTTACTTAATACTTGGTTGCATAAAGCTTGTAAGCCTACTCATAAATATTAACTTGTTCCAACTGTCAATTCAATTAAATTCAATTCAGTTTTATTTGTATAGCACCAATTCATAACAAAAAATATCTCAGGACACTTTTCAAATAGAGCAGGTCTAGAC